TCAAAATCACACATCTAATTATTTAACAATTACATAAATATTACATCATTAATTATTTAATTAACCAAAAAAATTATATATTTATAATAACAAATTAATTACTAAACAAAACTATTAAATATAAATTAGGCAAACGTGTATTGTACGTTCCTGCACACAATAAATGCACCGTAAATTGCACTATACTGGTTGGCTTCCCAACCTCTCGTCCCTTCTTGGCTTCCCCCACACCCCAGCTCTCCTTCCGCCCACAACTCGCCTCTCCTCGTCTCTCTCTTTTGCCACCATATAAATTGTTTTGGCGTTGCATATTGAAGTGATTAACAATGAACTTTGGATGGAAATTCTCTATCCATTAACCGATTCTCAATTTCGAAGCGACAGATGTAGGTTGAGAGAGGAAGTGTGAGAAGGATGTGATGGTGGCACCTACCAGGAGAGTTATGCAAAAATGCAAGTTGGGCAATGGCCGAAAATTGGGTGGTGGGTGTTTCAAGATGTGGCTAGGCTAAGTTTTTGTAAAGGAGGTCGCAATGGCAGCCAGTGGAGATTTCGTGGTGGGGTGGCCGGTGGGAGAAGGAGAATCTTTTTCCTTTCCTTTTGTTTTATTTATTTAATTTAATACAAAAGGTTAGGAACTAAAATGCTAACCTTTGAGTTTGGAAACAAAAGTTCGATAGGGGTCGAAGACCTCTGTTGTTATTTGCCCGTGAAGGATCCTCTCCTTCAGCGGATGATATTACCTTGCTGCATAGCCAAGTCGATTGTAATAACTATGGTGTTAACAACACAGTTTCTCCGCTCACAATCGAAGGCTAGAAAGAGATGAATGAAGATTGATTTACAGTCTTGTTGTAAAGGTATGCGTTTTTTCCCCGTGTGCTATTACGTGATTTTCAGTCACTAAATTCTTCTAAAGTTAGAATATTTGTTTCTTTCTTAGTTTGATCTCCAATGGGTCACCGAATTCAGTTCTAATTCATCATGGCACAGCAGCTGTTCTTAATTGATTTCGTGAATTGGCTCTCATTTTTAGAGTAAGATAGAAGGCAATTGTTGTTGTTGTTGTTGATTTTTTTAAGTGCCTTTAGAACCCAATATTGCCTGATATTGAATTTGATTTCTTGTATAAAATGCTGATAAATCTTTTTTTCATTCCATATTTTTGTTACGTATGGCCTTTAGAATCCAACATCTGGAGGAGGGAAGAGGAAAATTAAAAGCACGATGTGATTATTGATTTCTGATTATTCAAGACAAGCCTAGATGATTGCATGTTCCACATTGTTGTAGATATTCTATATGTAATTGAATATCATGTTATTGCAAAAAGGATATCCCATTTTACTTTCTCGTGACAGTCTATCATAGGAGGTAATTCAGAGAACGAATCCAGACAAGTTCACCCACAGGACGCGCATTCTAAATAATCAGTATTAGTAGTACGTTTTCAGTGATTGTTGGAGCTATTTTCTTGATAAAGCTCAGAATCAGCTGACATGTTGATTTTCTTATTTCAGGAAGACTAATAGGAAAGGTAATTGGCTTATAGATGAGGCTTGTGCAAGTATAAGAGTTGAAATTGACAGTCTACCATAATAAATTAATAATTTATAAAGGATGAGAGTTCAGCTGGAGGTCAAACTCTTTGGCTTTGAGAAAGGGAAAGACAAAGCTAGAAAAGCTTTCTTTGTTAAAGTGGAGTGTTTTTCTGTACCAATTATTGGTTTGTTATGTCTATGTGTGGTACAGTTGGACAGATGGAGCAATGTTTTAGATAAGGATAAGGGGGAAGAACCTTGATGATCTGCGGGAGAAACTCCATCCTTGATGATGGGATATAAAAAGGGGAAAGATTTCTGAACTTCGGAAACTTGAGCAAAAGTGGGGTGACATTCTGTGGGCCTTACTGGAAGCTGAAAGGAGTTATGATCTTGTTAGAGCTGCAGGCTTCAAATATGGAGCTATTTAGGACATGGAAAAGCTCATTCCAAAGCTCGAATCAAGAGCAAGTGAGAATGATATGCTTTAACAGAATTTGGACTGGATCATATCCAGAAGGAATGTGATTGTCTAACTGGAATACCTTTTTTTAAGCTTGGCCAGAATGAGAGATTGGTTGCTCTTTCTGATAGGCTGTACTAATGAATTAGAGGACATGATCAAGCAGTTTCAGCGATTGCAGAAGCTATGTAGAAGTCCAGAGCCGGGTTGGGAAGGCTGCGGTTGGGAAGGCTGCAGCAGCCAATGGGTTCATCCTTTCCTTATGTTCAACTGGTGGGAGAGAATACATGCCTTTAGCTGAGAAACTCTTCAATGATGATAACTGAGTGTCAAAGTTGACATTTCTGAATAAGTGGAGCAATGTTCTGTTGCCTGATTCTTTGGAGCTCCTCCTTGGTAAGTTGATTGTATTTATGTTGTAGTTCAGTTTTTGGTCATATTATGACATAATAGCTTATTTGGGTTGCAAATTATTATCTCGTTTTTTCTTCTGTATAATTTTCAACTCAACCACAACCAAGAGTGCTAAAAAAGGACTTGACACGTCTAAAGCTTACTGAGCGTTGTGAACTTTGTCCAACTTGATCTTAAATAGGCATCCTCGTCTGGGGTGTGCGGTCACGTAGAAAATTCTATAAAAAAAGTACCGAGTCAAAGACTGGTTAAGTTTGGCATAGTTCAGTTGCTTATGTCTTGTCTCCAACTTGACCCAAGTGGAGTTTTCTTGACTAGGTATTGAAAGTTCCATAACAAACTGACCTGACCACAGTGAAGCCTATTTGAGACTGCTCAATTGGGTTAAGTTTGGTTGGTTGAGCTTCAGACACGTGATCTGGGGTCGTATTGTATTTCTTACAAGGTTTTTGATTTTATTTTTATTTTTTTGAATCAATCAAAGTCAAAACATTGGTTTTGTTTAGAAATCAAAACTTTAGTCACTTGGTTGAAGTTCTCATTTGAACCAGATATATCAATTTGGAAGTGTCTATTTGACCATGTTTAGGGGAGGAAGAGATGGTTTTTGTCACTTGTGTGTTTTATGGAGATTGTATGTGTTTGTGTATAAGGTTGTTTTGTGGAGACGAGGGAAAGGATGGTAGGCTGATCAATTTTACCTCCCGTCCAATGATGGACAAGTTGGCATGGGCATTCACACTCATAAATGGGTTTGTATTGTTGGGAGAACCTTGTTGGAATAAACCATAGTTAAATTTGTGTCTAACACATTCATATGCACATACGAGTCCTTTTGACTTAGTTTCCCACGAGATAGGTGCTAAATATAAGTTTATAATAGATTCCTGAAATAAGTTGTCCCGATTTTAGTGCCTTTTGTGTTAATTTCTCATATCTTGTATTATTCACGCCTAAGCGTGTTATGAATTTCTACTACAATAAACATTCCAAATTTTTTAAAGTTGTTCCTCGAGCACTTCGTTCCTTCCACTAAAAGCCGACCATAATGCTACGAGACTAGAAATGTTAGTAAATCACCCTAATTAATAGAAAGTATTGGCAATTTTTAAAAAGACTAAATCCAATGCTCATTCTTTTTAACGTTGTAAGGTGAAGACATGAGGCATTTAGAGTTGTACGACACAAGATACACCAATAAATAAACCAAAAGAATATAAAAAAGGCAAAAATATTCTCATAATAAACCATAAACCACCTTGAAAATGCATAATAATATATTGTTAATAACATTTAAAAGCTATGTAGCAACAAGATCAATAAAATAACTGATAATAAATTTTCAAATTTGTAAATACATAACAAAATTGTATTTTAGTATTAGAAGTAGAATCAATTTTTAAAGTATGTGATATAATCAACTGAGAAGCACGGATATGAATACGTAATTCAAATAAGATACGATATGGGTACGTCGATACGACTTTTTAATAAAATTAGGATACGCAGATACGTGTTATAAAATTCTACATAATTTCATTAATATAAAAATAAAAATAAAAACAAACTTCATTTTCTTGAACATTGACATCAGCTTCTTCATTATCTTAAAAAATAACACTATCTAGCTCTTGTCATCTAATGATGTAGAAATTCATGGGCCTAACTCATCTCTCAAAACCGGTTCAGCAAGAGAGGTTTGCCACATTATTTATAAACTGGCCCA